TGGAGAACAGGGGGAAGCAGGGAGACCAGCTAGGAGGCTTTCATATTAATCCAGTGAGAGATGGTAGCAATGGACATGCTGAGACATGGTCAGATTTTTGGATATATTTTCAAGGAAGAGCTGGCAGGCATTGAGAGAAAAAGAGGAGATAAGTATGACTCCATGTTTTGCTCTAGGCAATGGGAAGACTGGAGTTCCTATTTTCTGAGATGGGATTGCTGCTGTAACAGAAAGACCTGGACTATTAGTGGCTTAAATCGGGTTGAAGTTTATTTATTGCAGTTGATCCAGGGCCCGTTTGGCAGCTCCATAATCATCAGGGACCCAGGCTCTTTCCATCTCCTTACTCTGGCAAAATAAGGTTTCCACCTCGTGGTCCAAAATGGCTGCCTCAGGTCCTGCCATCAGATCTGCCTTGCAGCCAGAAGAAAGGAAGAAAGAGGGCACGTGTCTTTTCATTTTGAGTACACATGTCCTTTTTGCTCACATCTCGTCTAAGTCAGAACTTAGACACATGGCCACAGCTAGGTGCAGAGGAGGCTGGGAAATGATTCTTTGTTCTATGTGCTCACGTGCCCAGCTATGAACCAGTGGCTCTAGTATTATGAGCAAGAAAGGAAGAATGTATGTTTGGGGAACAACTAGTCAACTTTCCCTAATGGGTCCTGAATGCTGCTCTTCCTACATCCCTTATGTCCCTCTCCAGTCCGTATTCTACATCTCACCTGGAAACAAAATTCCTAAAACATAGATCTGCTCATGACCTTCCATGGCTCATTACTCTTTCATGGGCCTCCAGTATCCTCTGAATTAAAGCCAAGTTTCTCAGCCTGGCATTTGAGTCATAATCTGGCTCCACCTTCCAACCACTCCAGCCTCATTCCTTCCACCCCATCCACACCTTACACTCCCACAATATCCGCACGTACCTGTGTGCTACCTTTTCCTTAAGCTGATCCCACAGTCTGCAGCATCCTTTCTGGCCTGAGGAAATCCTTTCTGTTTGTATCACTGTGATCAACACCACATCCTGCAGGAAACTTGCCCAGCCTCCTTACAGTGGGGCCCTCTGCCTCTCACAAACTCTCAGAGTCCCCGTCACCCCATCCTAGCAGAGAGGTCAGCTATTTGTATGGTGCCTGCTTTACTCCAGGCAAACTCACTAAGTCTTTCCTTTCCTGTCGTCCTTCCTTCTCACCACCCTTCCCTCCTGTCCACACTCTGCTCCTCCTCCCTTTTGCCTTCCTGTCCTCCCAGTTATGGAGCATGAAAGCACTGTACTCAGCACCTGTACTAAACAAAGAATCAATTTTTCCAGTTACTAAGGTCATGCGACAAATCATTCCAAGACCTAGTGGCTTCAGACAACGGCCACATTTAGTTTGCTCACGAACCTGCCATCTGCACAGGGCTTGGTGGAGGTGACACATCTCTGCTCTACATGGTGACAACGGGGGTGGATTGGAAGCTGGGGCAGTGTCTTGGATGGAAAGGCTCAAACAGCTGGAGCATGGACCAATTAGGGCTCCTCCACCATCTGACCTTTTCTCTATGTGGTCTGTCCAGCATGGTAGCTTCAAGGTAGAGAAACGTGTTTCTTACATGTCAGTTAAGGGTTCTGAAAATGCATGGAGAGAGAGAGAGAGAGAGAGAATGACTTGGGTATGATAAGCCCTCTGCTGGGGGAAGAGTCCTCTCAGTACCTGGAACAGCACCCAACATTTATCAGGAATTTATTAACAACTTCAACAATGATAAAGGGATGCATAGCTTACCTGGTAGCCGGAAGAGATATTCTAAACACCTTGGGTGCATATGGGAATCACGTAGGAGGTCCTCAGAGGAAGGAATTTGGATGCATTGTTCTGTTTATAGTAACAACAGTACAGCCATCAATGCTCTGGCATTTACTGTGGGTTAGATCTTTGTCATGAATTACTTTCTGTCCTCCTTCCAAACTTCGTGACAGGGGCCAGCAAACTGTGTCCCTCCACTTGTTTTTGTAAATAAAGTTTTATTGGAACACAGGTCTGCTCATTTGTTTGTATACTGTCTGCGGCTGCTTTCCTGCTGTAATGGCAGAGTAGTTGCAACAGGGACCAGATGACCCCAAAAGCTGAAATTATTTGCTATCTGGTCCTTTGCAGAAAATATTTGTTAACTCCTGCCCTAGAGGTAGGTATTAGGAGACCAGTTTATAAAAGAGAAGAAAAAGGCTCAGAGGGGGATGCTTTATTCGAGGTTGAGAGAGTCAGCGTCCGTACTTTTTATTTTATTTTTTTATTTTTATTTTATTTTTTTTGCGGTATGCAGGCCTCTCACTGTTTTGGACTCTCCCGTTGCGGAGCACAGGCTCCGGACGCGCAGGCTCAGCGGCCATGGCTCACGGGCCCAGCCGCTCCGCGGCATGTGGGATCTTCCCAGACCGGGGCACGAACCCGTGTGCCCTGCATCGGCAGGCGGACTCTCAACCACTGCGCCACAAGGGAAGCCCCTTATACAATTTTTTAAATACAATTTTTAAAGGCTACGTTCCATTTACAGTTATTACAAAATATTGGCTATATTCCCCATGTTGTACAATAAATACTTCCCTGTAGCCATCTAACACCCAGCAGTTTGTTCCTCCCACTCGCCCACCCCTATATTGCTCCCGTCCCCCCACTGGTAGCCACTTGTTTGTTCTCTATGAGATGGTGATTCATGACAGCTTTGGGGTTGTTTTTATCTCTTGTTTTTGCTTTTTAGTTTGCAAAGTCTGTGTGTGTGTGGTTAATCCATTTGATAACCCACTTGGGCTCAGCTACTGGTGTTCCTCATCTGTGGATGATGGAGCTTCAGAGTTTCTAGATTTCTCTACCCTGGACATCCCCATCTTAGAGACAAACCTGGAGCTTGCTGTCCCCAAGAGTTCCTGCTGTTGCTGGGGGCAGGGCCTCCCTAGACTTGTTGGGACAAGGCTTCCCTTCCTGGTCAGGACTCTGGAGCCCCCTGGGGCTCTTGAGCCTCATGTAGCTCCGAGGAAAGTGGGTGATAAGTTTCCAAAGAACTGCCCACCTCCAAGACTTCTGGATCCTCCATCCTGAGTGCTGTGCTGACCCCTGACCCTCTCATCTCCAGCTCTGTACACTTCTGCCGTGTCCTGCCCCCACTCACCAGTTTTAACGAAATAAGCATGTTTTGTCTTGCTAAAAAAACAAAACCCAAAAAAACCTCTTGGGACATGTGGAAACGATTTATGGGTCAGATATCTGTCATTTCATAAGTATTCTGAAGTATGCCTATGGATTGTTGTCAAACCTGATCCAATCATAAATCAAATGAGTTACTTGGAGTCAAATAATTTCCAAAACAAAATTATGCAAATCTTTTCAGTGTTTTTTTTCAGCTTTATTGCACTATAATTTACATGCAATAAAATTCACTTTTTTTTTTTTTTTTTTTTTTTTGCGATACGCGGCCTCCCACTGTTGTGGCCTCTCCCATTGCGGAGCACAGGCTCCGGACGCGCAGGCTCAGCGGCCATGGCTCACAGGCCCAACCGCTCCGCGGCACGTGTTGATCCTCCCGGACCGGGGCACGAACCCGTGTCCCCTGCATCGGCAGGCAGACTCTCAACCACTGCGCCACCAGGGAAGCCCTAAAATTCACTATTTTTAGGTGAACATGCTGATGAGATTTGACAAATATGTCATCATGTACATAAACACCAGTGCGGTTTAGAGATTCTTTCCAACCCCCCCGAAAGTTCCCTTTGCAGTAATCACTTCCCCCAACCCCTCTGCCCTTGGTAACCACTGACCTTCATTCTCTCACTATAGTTTTGTTTTTCCTAGATTGTCATGTAACTGGAATCATACATATTGTGTAAATACCAGTAGTTCATTCCTTCTTTGTGTGGGGGGGGGGGAAGGGACCCACACCACAGGGCATGTGGGATCTTTGCCGACCAGGGTTTGAACCCATGCCCCCTGCATTGGGAGCTTTGAGTCTTAACCACTAGACCATCAGGGAAGTCCTCATTCCTTTATATTGAGTACATTATATGAAGTTATTATAAATAACTTATTCCTTTAGCTGTCGATGGACACATCAATTACAAAATTGGGTTGCTTCCAACTTTGGGGTATTATAAGTGGGATGGGTTGAATTGCCTCGCCCCTCTCCCCCCACAAATTCATATGTTGAAATCCTAACCTGCAGTAGACCACAGAATGTGACATTATTCGGAAATAGGGTATTTGCAGATGTAATTAATTAAGATGAGGTCGTTTTGAATTAGGGTGAGCCTCTCCTCAGGCCCAGGAGTCCCGGTCCCTAGCACTTCCCCCATCAGACCCAGGGGTCCAGACCCCCAGCCTCTCCTCCCTCAGACCCAGGGGTCCAGGCCCCCAGCCCCTCCTCCTTCAGACCGAGTGTATGCCCCCATGTCCTCCTGCCTCAGGACCCAGGAGTTTGGGAACCTCCCAGGCTAGTAGGTCTTGGATTCTGAGCACTGAAATTATCAAATTGTCCCAGAAAGTCTACGAGGAACACATATATTTATGTTCCTTATTTATTTTTATTGCAGTATAGTTGATTTACAATATTATATTAGTTTCAGGTGTACCACATAGTGATTCAAAATTTTTACAGATTATATTCCGTTTACAGTTTTTATAAAATATTGGCTATAGTCCCTGTGCTGTACAGTATATCCTTGTAGCTTATTTTATACATAGTACTTTGTAAGGAACATATTTTTAGAAGAGGAAACATGCTGGTACATTTGAAAGACACAGAGGACCGAAGTCCGGAAGCAGCAGCTGCTGGATTGCGATCGTGGGGTCCCTCCAGCAGCTGTACGAGTGTAACATTATTGGAACTGCGTGTAGGCCCCGCCCCCGAGACCACGGCCTCGCCCCCGGCTCCGGAAACTACCATGCCCAGCTGCAGCTGCGCTCACGGCCCCTCCCTATAGGTCCCTCCCCCGGAAGTTCCGCCCCGCCCGTTTCCGGAAGCCGAGGCTTCCAGCCCGGCCTGCATTTCCCCACGTGCATCCCAGGCAGCGCGCTCCTAGGACTGACCCCGGGCGCGGGTCTGCGGGCGGCTGCAGTGGGACCCCTCACCCCACTCCCACCGGCTCCGGCCCGTAATGAATCGCTACATTCTGCCGCTGTCCGTGCTGGGCACAGCGGTGGGTGGCGCCGTGCTGCTCAAGTAAGTACGTGCGGGTCCCGCAGGCGCGGTAACGGTTGGCCGGTGGGCAAGGACGAGGGAGGGAAAGCCGAGTGGAGATTGCCAACCCTTGGCCCACCCAGGAGTCCTCCAGCTCACCCGTCCAGCAGTGCTCCCAGAGAATGAAGGGGCAAGCCTGGTCCCCGAGAGGGCAGGTCACGGCCCAAGGTCACCCAGAGAAAGGGGCGGATCCGGGCCCTGGTAAACATTTTGGTTTAGTTGCTTCTGGACTTTTAATGGATTAATTCATTCATTCAGCGGACACTTATTGAGCACTTCCCATATGTGAAGTCGTGGCCCAGATGCAAGGAAAGTGTGTACCACCTAAGCTCCCGTTGTCCGAAATTAGAGAAACAAATTAGAATTGTTCAAGTCAGTAAGTGAAAAGATCGTATTGCGTGGTATATAGACATACTGTAGTTCTTTCTTCTCTTTCCTAGGCTAATTCGTTTAATAAAAACAAGACGAAACGGGACTAAGAAGTAAAAACTATTAGGTATAAAATAAGCTACAAGGATATATTGCACAGCCCGTGGAATATAGCAAATATTTTATGCTATAAATGGAATAGGTTATAAATGGAATAGAACCTTTAAAAATTGTAAATCGCTATATTGTACACCTGTACCTTATATAATATTGTATATCAACTATATACTTCAATATAAAAATCCCCCCAAACCAAAAAACAGCTACCAAATGTTCTATAGGAGCACCGGTCAGTAGAACTTCCTGTGATCATCGAAATGTTTTACATTTGCCCTGTCCATTATGAGCCATACCGTGCGACTACGTTTTATTTATTTATTTATTTTTGGCTGCTTGGGTCTTCGTTGCTGCGCGTGCACTTTCTCTAGTTGCGGCGAACGGGGGCTACTCTTCGTTGCGGTGCGCGGGCTTCTCATTGCGGTGGCTTCTCTTGTTGTGGAGCATGGGCTCTAGGCGTGCAGGCTTCAGTAGTTGTGGCACGCGGGCTCAGTAGTTGTGGCTCGCGGGCTCTAGAACACAGGCTCAGTAGCTGTGGCGCACGGGCTTAGTTGCTCCGCGGCATGTGGGGTCTTCCCCGACCAGGGCTTGAACCCACGTCCCCTGCATTGGCAGGCGGATTCTTAACCACTGCGCCACTGGAGAAGTCCCTCGGCTGCTGTTATTTTTATTCATGCTGATGCCTTTCAGTTCTGAAAAAGCTTAAAAATAAAAAAGGGCCAGCATGGGAAGAATAAAAGAAAACTGAATGCCCTAGGGGGGAAAGTATGACTATTGTTTTTTTTTTTTTTTTCACTTTTTATTTTTAAAAACAATTTTATTGGAGTATGGTTGCTTTACTATGTTGTGTTAGTTTAGATTCTTTATTTTTAATTAAATTAAAAAATTAGCCTCAGGGGACTTTCCTGGTGGCGCAGTGGTTAAGAATCTGCCTGCCAATGCAGGAGACACGGGTTCGAGCCTTGGTCCGGGAAGATCCCACATGCTGCGGAGCAACTAAACCAGTGCACCACAACTACTGAGCCTGTGCTCCAGAGCCCACAAGCCACAACTACTGAGCCTGTGTGCCACAACTACTGAAGCCCGGGTGCCTAGAGCCCATGCTCTGCAACAAGAGAAGCCACTGCGATGAGAAGCCCGCGCACCACCGCAACGAAGAGTAGCCCCGGCTGACCGCAACTAGAGAAAGCCCTTGTGCAGCAACGAAGACCCAATGCAGCCAAAAATAAATATAAAAAATTAATTAATTAATTAAAAAAAAAGAAAAATAATAGCCTCTGGTGGCTGGTGGCTACCGTGTTGTACGTTGCCCTTCTTTTGTGTGGAGATAATATTGTTTATTTGGCCAGTTCCCTGTTGGTGACATTTGGTTGTTTCCAGTATTTAGCCTCTGGAATGTGGGCATAGTAGCAGAATAAGGGCCCCCAACGATGTGCATGTCCTAATTTCCAGAACTTGTCAAAAGGGACTTTTCAGATGTCACTGTGTTAAGGGCCTTGAGATGGGAGATGATCTGGGTTATCCAGGTGGCCCAACATCATCACAACGGTCCTTATAAGAGGGAGGCAGAAGCATCAGAGTCAGGGGCTTGAAGATGCTGTGCCGCTGACTTTGAAGGTGAAGGAAGGGGCCACGAGCCAAGGGATGCAGGCGGCCCCTAGAAACTGGAAAAGGTATGGGGACGATTCTCAGTTCTCCCTGGAGCCTCCAGAAGGCACACAGCTCTGCCGACACCTCGATTTTAGCCCAGTGAGACCCATTTCGGACTCTGACCTGCAGACTGTAGGAAATACCGTTGCATGGTTTTTATGGTTTTTTTTTTTGCGGTACGCGGGCCTCTCACTGCTGTGGCCTCTCCCATTGCGGAGCACAGGCTCCCGGATGCGCAGGCTCAGCGGCCATGGCTCACGGGCCCAGCCGCTCCGTGGCATGTGGGATCTTCCCGGACCGGGGCACGAACCCGTGTCCCCTGCATCGGCAGGCGGACTCTCAACCGCTGCGCCACCAGGGAAGCCCCGTTGCGTGGTTTTAACCCACTGAGCTTGTGGTGGTCTGTTAGAGCAGCCACAGGGGGTCTTTCTAAAATGACGATTGTCTCGCTGTGCACGCTCCCCGCACCAGACCATGCTGAGTCCTTTACCTGTACCGCGACACCGGTCCCATGGAGTTATACAATGTCGCTTCCATCTTTCCGTTGGGGGAACACAAGCTCCGAGAGGTCATTTCCCTGAGATCACAACAATCAGGGACACCTGTGGTGAGAGAGGACAGACAGACCGAACTGACCTGCCGTTTTTTATCTCCAGGGACTTTGTCGCCGGCGGGGCTTGTCCCAGCAAGACCACCATTCCCGGGAAGACCGTCATTGTGACCGGCGCCAACACGGGCATCGGGAAACAGACGGCCTTGGAGCTGGCCAGGAGAGGTGAAGTCCCAGTGGGCACCTGCTTCTCTGCCTGGGGCTCGGGCGCGAGATCTGGCGGTGGATGGTTTGATTTCCCGGGGGATGTTAAGGCATCTGATTCTTTTGGTTGCAAGTGGCAGAAACAAACTCACGCCGGCTTAAGCCCGAAAGCCTGTGTCTCTGGAAGAGGGAAGGGCAGGTTCAGGGTCTCAGAGGAGGCCGTGGGCGCTCAGCAGTTATTGGTTTGGGTTTTTCTCTTTGCATCGGCTGTGCTCTTTCCTACTGTAGTTGGACTCAGTCCTAATGGCTGGGTCGGGACCTAGGTCAGAGGTTGGGGGTCAGGCTCTCCCAAGCTTACTGGTCAGGCGTTTTGTAGAAAGAACACGCTTCGATTTGGGTCTGTTTGACGTTTCTCTCGCGGTCAGACTGGGCTTATGGGGAAGTGCCCTTCTCAGCACATGCAGATGTCTTTTGAAATTGGAATCAGTGGGGTTTCCTGTGGGTTCAGGTATGAGAAAGGGAGGAGTTAAGGTTTTGTTTGAACAGCTGGAAGACCAAAGCTGCCTTGGCTGGGATGGGGAGGCCAGGGCAGGGCAGGGGTGAGGACTGGGGAGACTGGAAACTCTCCTTGGGCTGGTCGAGTCGAGGTGACCAGTGAATGGGTCCCTGATGGACTGACCAGGCCTGAGCTGCCTGTTCACCCCTGAGGTGAGAGTGGTGGGGGTCCATGAGGGCAACCCCCCTTCCCCCCACACCACATGGGGTTTCCCCAAGGGAGGGACAGACGCTCCTTTCAGGAAAAAGCGAGAAGGGAGGGACTTCCCTGGCGACGCAGTGGTTAAGAATCCACCTGCCAACACAGGGGACGTGGGTTCGAGTCCTGGTCCGGGAAGATCCCATGTGCCGCGGAGCCACTAAGCCCGTGCGCCACAACTACTGAGCCTGCGCACCACAACTGCTGAAGCCCACGCGCCTAGTGCCCGTGCTCCGCAACAAGAGAGGCCACCACAATGAGAAGCCCGCGCACCGCAACAAAGAGTAGCCCCTGCTCGCCGCAGTTAGAAAAAGCTCATGCGCAGCAACAAAGACCCAACGCAGCCAAACATAAATAAATAGACAAATTTAAAAAAAAGAAATTAAAAAAATGAAAACAAAAAACAGGACAGCTAATTTATTTAAAGAAAAAGAAAAGTGAGAAGGGAAATTGGGCCAACACACCCACTGTGGTCCCTTGAGAGCCAGGCTGCCACTGGGAGGACAGACAGATCCAGGACTTGATGAGTCCATTCTGGACTGTGTGATGGGGGGGGGGCCAGATGTGTAGGAGGCAGCTGGCCCAGCTGTGGAGGATGAGCCCTGTGGACCCACGCGGTTCGGCATCCTTGCTGCCCGTCCTCCTCTCAATCCCTGTTTCTTCTCACTTTTCTAATTTGAAAATAAAAGTTTAAAAAAATCAAATTTTTTCCTTTTTTTTTTTTTAAATTTTGGCTGTGCCGCCCCGGCATGCGGGAACTTAGTTCCCCGACCGGGGATGGAACCTGTGCCCCCTACAGTGGGAGCACGGAGCCTTAACCCGCCGGACTGCCAGGGAAGTCCCCCAAAAGTTTTCTTTTTAAAGGCTGTATTAAGATTTAATTCACACATTTAAAGTGTACGCTTCCATGATTTTTAGTATATTCACAGAATTGTACAACCATCACTGGTCTCCATTTTAGAACATTTTTCATCACCCCAAAACGAAACCTGGCTCCTCTAAGCCATCATCCCCTAATTTCCCTTCCCCGCCAAAGCTAGGAAACCACTAATCTTCCTTCTGTGGGTTTGCCTCTTCTGGACATTTCAGATAAATGAATCATGCACTCTGTGTCCTTTTGTGTCTGGCTTTCACTGAGTATCACGTTTGTGAGGTTGGAATTTCCTTCCTTTTCATGGCTAATATTCCACTGATGGACAAACCACATGTCACTTATCCATTCATCCCTTAAAACATTTTTTTTTAAATTTTATATTGGACTATAGTTGATTTACGATGTTGTGATAGTTTCAGGTGTACAGCAAAGTGATTCAGTTGTACATATACATGTATCTGTTCTTTTTCAAGTTCTGTTCTCATTTAGGTTGTTACAGAATATGGAGCAGAGTTCCCTGTGCTGTACAGTAGGTCCTTGTTGGTGGTTTATTTTATGTATAGTAGTGTGCACATGTCAGTCCCAAGCTCCCAATTTATCCCTCCCACCAATATTCATTTATCCCTCGATGGGCATTTGGGTTGTTTCCACCTCTGGCTGTTCTGCACAGTGCTGCTGTGCACATGTGAGTACACATTTTTGTGCGGACTGATGTTTTCATTTATCTTGGGTATCTATACTTAGGAGTGGATCTTTTTTTTTTTTAGTTTTTTTTTTTTTAACATCTTTATTGGGGTATAATT